AGCTATGAAAGATATTTGCAAGCTGCTAGGTGATAAGGGACCTGAAATATTACAAATATTTCGTGTAAGAATATTCTCATGTAATTCTGATTTTTCAATATTAACATTCATTAATATTTTATTTGTTTTAAAAAATATTTAGGAATATGAAAAGCAGGAATCTCCTGAAGCGCAATATGTTAAAGACTTAGACAGACTAGACTTGCTGATGCAAGCATACGAATACGAAAAAAGGGACAACATTCCGGGAGAACTGAACGAATTCTTTGTCGCGATTAATGGCAAGATTAGACATCCTGTTATCAATAAAATCGCTATTGACATTACCGAAGAGAGAGACAAATTTTGTCGTAATATAAATGTCTTGAAATAGCAAAAGGTATAATCCAAGAACAAACCTGGGAGGGCAAGCTTCCAGATAGCTCAAATGATATTTTAATCGTTACCATGTCACACGCTATTAAACAAGGACTATTAACGTAATTTTAATACATAAGATTTTGATATAGGTAGTAATAAAACAAGCATATATATATTAGGTGTAGTAAAAAGAAATCCATTATTTTTGCATAAAATTGAATGGAAAAATAATGGAATTTCTTTTTACTACACTTAATATATATATAATTGATTACTTAAATTATTTGATCATTCATTGCGTAAACTGATCATGGATAAGAAATTTATTTATGTATCTCTTTACTTTCTCTATTTTTTGAGATCTTTTTAAATAGCAAATCAATAATTATTTTCTCGTATTTAAAATATTATGATGTGTAAAGTATGTATGTGTATATTTTACATATCTTAATTATTCATTGAATTTTCGTTGCAGTAAAGCGATTACCAAATATTATTTTTTAGATACTAAATATTTGCTAAAGAAAGTTTAGAAGTTTAGAAGAAATATGAATATTTATCAAAACACTTTAGCACTTTTATGAGCAGTTTTGTTTCTACGAACAAATATATATAATCACTGCCATTCTATTCTTATAAGTGTATATAAGATACCAATTCTATAAATTTGTTGACAATTCACTTTTGTGTCGCTTTAAAGCAATTACTTTTTTTTTAATTCTTCATTTTGTTCAAGAATATAATATATGTTTCAATATCTCACGCAAAACAATGTATATAATTTATTTTCTTATACCTTCCATTTATTGTAACAAGTTAATGTAAAATTAAGACTTTTGTAATCCAAAATTTTATGATTTGAACAAATTTCTTATTTTTAATTATCTATCTCTAAACAATTATTTATTCAATGCTTACATTTTGAATCAATTTTTTTCCGATTAATTTTATGACTTAAATATTGAACTCGTATTACACAGAGTAATACGTTGGTTATATCGATGATCCGACGATTAATTTATTGATGCATGATTCATAGACCGTGATATTTATCTGTATCATTCATATTGGTACATGTACTTAGTATATACTTTTTTGTTGCATATAACATACTTGTTTATTTTGCATAACAATATTCATTCAGTCAAATGCGTTAGAATTATATTTTATATGTATAAATGTATATAGATATCTGAAACACGAAAAGAGAGATACACTTATAAATAATTTATAAGTTTCTAAAAATTACTAAATTACTAAGATTTACAATAATTAACAATGATAATTAACTAATATTGGGTTGTCCGGAAAGTTCGTGCTGATGTTGAAGGAAAATTGAAACGCAGAAAATTAAAATTTTAGTATACATTTATTAAATTATATAGATTAGTTGGCACGAACTTTCCGGACAACCCAATAATAAAGATGATGCAATAAAGAAAGCGATTGAAATAAATAATTTATTATTTATAAATACAATGTTATTTAACATATAAATTTAAATATAATATATATTTATGTTCTATGGAGCATATACATATACATGTGATTCTAAATTTTAATATCAAAGATATTTAAGTTATAGCACAAAACATGTCTTATTAAAAAATTAGTATGATTTTACGCTTCATAATAATTTATAAATTTTACGTTCTCTTCTGTCATTTGAACCATAACCGATTATTAATTCAATCTTGAGATATATAATTTGATGTCAGCCGATTATTAATTCAATCTTGAGATATATAATTTGATGTCAATGCTAAATGTAATATCGTATTATCTTAAATTTATAATCAATTTAATGATACTGAATAAGTATCTTATAAGATTATACTTGATGAGAAAAATATCAATACTAATTATTCTTCAGAGAAATACAAAGTCATAGCTAAGAAAAGAGTTTCTTAATATTTTTCTATTGCAACAAAGCAATTTATTATGAAAAAATAATTTTTGATTTAGTAAAAATTTTTATTTACTTTCAATAAATAAAAATGGGATTCTGTAAATTCTACTTAATAATTAATGACAATAAGATAACGACATCATAAAGCGAATTTTCCATTGTATAAAAATACTAAGTATGTAATCAAAAGCTAATTAATTAAGCAAGATTTAAAATAGAGATAAAATTACGAATAATTATGACTGTATACATTTTTAGTATTATTAGAAATAATAGAATGTCTCATACATAAAAAATTGTTATCATTAAATAATTTATAATAAATCTCAAATATATATTGAAAGGATCCTTATAATTAAAATAATTTATATTTAAACAATATGAAATTTGAAATCAACGAATTAAAGTTACATAAGTCGTATGCAGTGTTGGGTATAGTATCTCTATAAAAAAAAAATGTATCTATAATATATAGAGATAAACTTTGTGTATCTCACTTGTATCTGAAATACATTTAATTAAATTCGAGTATTTGTAGCTAGATACAAAAATACTATCTGAACTGATTTTCGGATACATTTCCTCAGCAAAAGTACGATTCCATCACGTGTGTGATAACGTCACTCCTGATTAAGACTATATGTAAGTTTGGTTTGTAAAACTAATAACGAATAATATCTGAAAAATCACTCATCGTAAATCATTTTACGATGTAATTACAAATTTTTGCAATTTTATTTTCGTTTGCCGAATTTTCGTATCGTGTTATCGTATTATAATTAGAGTAATAATCGTATTAGAATAAGAATTAAGTATTATCAGTGCCTAAATTCCAGTTTTTGTTTGCAAGATACAGCATACATGATGTATATGAGAATTTTTAGTTATTTTGTTTTTATTATATTATGCTTTAGTTGTCTTCAAAACAATAAAATAAAAAATGATCAATAAATAACTTATTTAGTAAGTTTTTTAAATATCATTATTATTATAATAA